GCAGTAGCAGCAGTAGTAGCAGGAGCAGCAGTGCGGCGACGCTCTTACCAGGGCAGAGGGCCGCAAGTGGTGGGGCAGGGCCGAGGCGCACCGGCAGGGACGGGCCGAGGTGCGCAGGCAGAGCCGAGGCGCGTCGGCAGGGACGAGCCGAGGCGCGCCGGCAGGGACGGGCCGAGGCGCGCCGCCAGGGACGGGCCGAGGCGCGTCGGCAGGTACGGGCCGAGGCGTGCCGGCAGGGACGGGCCGAGGCGCGCCGGCAGGGTCGGGCCGAGGCGCGCCGGTGGCTGCTGCTGGTGACGGCTGCGGCTGCTGCTGGTGACGGCTGCGGCTGCTGCAGGAGGGGCGGCGACGGTGGGCCGCGAAGGGGGCCGAGAAGGGCGGCGCGAGGGGCCGTAAGGGGCCGACGAGGGCGGCGCGAGGGGCCGTAAGGGGCCGACGAGGGCGGCGCGAGGGGCCGTAAGGGGCCTACGAGGGCGGCGCGAGGGGCCGTAAGGGGCCGACGAGGGTGGCGCGAGGGGCCGACGGGCAGCGCGAGGGGCCGTAAGGGGCCGTAAGGGCGGCACGAGGGGCCGTAAGGGCGGCGCGAGGGGCCGTAAGGGCGGCGCGAGGGGCCGTAAGGGGCCGCGAAGGGCCGTGAGAGGGGCCGCTAAGGGCGACGCGAAGGGGCCGTGAGGGGCCGTGAGAGGGCGCTGTCAGAGGTCCACTGGTGATCCCCGATTGATCCTAGGGAAGGGTTACAGGCACGGTTGCCTGGGGGGTTATGGGCGCACTGACCCGCTACTTAAACAAGCCCTTTTATCCCAATGGTCTAGTGGTTGGGATTCTGACATGGTATCAGAGCGAAGGTCTCGGGTTCGTATCCCGGTGTATGCACTTCGGGCATCCCAGTGCGGGGAGGTGTCAGAGGTCCACTGGTGATCCCCGATTGATCCTAGGGAAGGGTTACAGGCACGGTTGCCTGGGGGGTTACGGGCGCACTGACCCGCTACTTAAACAAGCCCTTTTATCCCAATGGTCTAGTGGTTGGGATTCTGACAGGCGCGACGGTAGGGAGGGCACACGGGGCGCGACTCGGGCAGGAGCGAAGCGCGCTCCGGGCAGGAAAAAAAAATCGTGGTGGGCCCTGAGAAGTGTTCCCACTAGGGAACCTGCTCTATACCATGTGAAGAAATGAGGAAGGAATGAATGAACTAGCAAGCAGGTGGGTACAAGTAGGAAAACCTAAAAGTGTTGTACCCCATATTGTCTACCCCACTACAGCCTACACAGACCAGAGCATATGAGTTTGACAGTTTTAAGAAAACGACAGACAAAAATTAGTATTCTGCTGAATCAAAATCTCAAAGGAAAGACACCATTTTGCAGCTAGATTAAGGATAACACGGTTAAAAGGGCTAAACGAAAAACGGATGAACTTACCACAAATTCAGCTGCTTGTAGCTTCACTCCTTGCAGCCCGTCGCACATCCATCCAGCTTTGAAGGCTGATCCGCCATGCGTTTCGTAGGAGAATTTGTAGACTGCTCGCGCATGCGCTTCGTTTGAGACTTCGTAGACTGCTCGCGCATGCGCTTCGTAGGAGAATTTGTATACTGCTCGCGCATGCGCTTCGTAGGAGACTTTGTAGACTGCTCCTTAAGCTGACCTGTTAAAGAAAACAAGAGACGCATAATAGTATAAACTCAATCTTCAAAGAAAGTATCAACCATCAGCTCAAGCAGAAAACGGCAAATGACAAGGATGAACAATGCCAGGAATCAGAAACTTACTTGACAGCTTCCATGGCGGCTTCGTGGGCTGCTGCATCTGCTGCGAAGGCTCCTTGGTAGGCCGCTCGCGACATGATCCTCCTTTGCTGGAAACGGGGGGAAGAAACACACACAGAAGCACGAAGTTAGTATACAGCGATGACACGAAGAAAAGCAAGGGGAAAACAAACAAACAAATGCGAAAAACGACAATGAATATGAAAACGACAAAGGAAACGAGGGCGGACGTCCGTGATTCATAGGCTGCAGCCTTCAGAGGGAGGATCTAATCTAGCCACCCCATCTACCCAACCGAGGAGGATCATCTTCCAGCTGCAACCGTATGAATCAGAGGGACGATGGAAAACGGCGATGCACGAATGGCGGTTGTGGATGATGATGAGAATGATGACGAAAAACGAAAGCGAGGAAAACGAAATTGGGATCGGGAAAAGGGAAGCAACACTCCCCTATGAACGTTGGCAGCGGGATGAACGGCGGCAGCACCACGTTCCACCACATCAACAGCGTCAGGGCCAGCCAAGGCGGCAGCAGCACTCCAATGCCAGACCGCCAGCCACAACTCTCAGAGACGAGCTTTGAGATTCCAACTTGAGGACGAGGAACTTCTTGTTGCTTTTGAACCTGCAAGAATACAACCAAACATGAGTTAGAAATTGGAAGTACAAGAAGGGCTTTGATGCGGTGCATAAACGTAACAGCTCCATGCTTACCTCTGGAGATCGGAAGGGCAGGCTCGGCGGGGGGCGGTGAGCGGATGGATGGATGGTTTGTTGGTTGGTGGTGGTGGGCGATCTCCAGGGTGAAGCGTCAGACTCCGTGAAGTCAGGCACGCACGGCTTGAACAGCAGCACTCCCAACGTGTCAGAGCGCCACGCACGGCTTGATGAAGAACAACTTCAAAATGGAAAGAAGCAAGTTCGGATGCAGATTCTTCATTGGACTTGATGGAGAGCAGCAAGTCTCTTGAACCTGCGAATATACAAACACAAAAGAGTCAGAAAACAGAAGTATAGGAGGAAATTTTCAAGAACAAGGTACACTTTAAAAGATCTCGTACGTTAAAGTCAAAGTTAGTAAACAGAAACATCTCGTGCTTACCTCTGGAGATCGGAATGGCAGGCTCGGCGGGGGACGGTGAGCGGATGGATGGATGGTTTGTTGGTTGGTGGTGGTGGGCGATCTCCAGGGTGAAGCGTCAGACTCCGTGAAGTCAGGCACGCACGGCTTGAACAGCAGCACCCCCAACGTGTCAGAGCGCCACGCACGGCTTGAACAGCATGAGTTCGGGTTGAGCAGAAGTTCGTGTTGAGCTAAAGTTCGGCTTGAGCAGAAGTTCGGCTTGAGCAGAAGTTCGGTTGCGGAGCAGCAGTTTGTATGCAGATTCGTCACTGGACTTGTCTTTTGTACCTGCAAAAAACGAACACAGATGAGTCAGTAATCGGAAGTTTACACAAATAAATTTTGAAACAATTACATTCAGAAACGTCTATGGTTACCTTAGGAGATCGAATGGTAGGCTGGGCGGGAGGGCGGTGTGCGGATGGAGGCGGGTAGCAGTTGGTGATGGGGCCGAATGGTTGGTGGGCGATCTCCAGGGTTTATGAGCTTAGACGAATGAAGCTCGTTCTTGGCGGGAATTATGGTGGGCGGCCTCCAGGGCGCATGGAGTTCGGGCGAATGAAGCTCGTTGATGACGGAAAATCGTGGTGGGCGACCTCGGGAATTATGAGCTTAAAGCTTTCAGAGTCGAAGTCCCTGTACTATATACATGCTACCCAACACACAGGCAGTGTGTCTAGACGCTCTAGTTTCTCCTTGCGGATATGTTTGTGTTTCTGTTCTGTGAGGAGGCTCCCTCAGCATCCTTGTCGCAAGGTGAGGATGGAGGAGACGAGTGGTTGGTTCACTACAAGCCGAAAACTACAGTGTCAGACTGCAGCAAGCCTGTGGGATGTGGTGGTCACCACCACCTGCTGCGGGTCAAAAAAACATTTTGGGTAGACATACCGCATGCGATGTATTTCCCAAATTTCGAAAAAAAACCTGAAATCAGGACCTGTGTCACTGCTTTGTTTAGAGATCTATTCGAAGATGTTGCCAGCGTAAAACATTTGCGTTTCAAAAAAGTACACAACCGAAAATTCAAAGCACGGGACGCGCCACGGGGGACAGGCCGGAAGTGGACGAGTTGCCGACGGAACTGTTCGTGAAATCCAAAGGGAAATGGGCCTGTGCAGGGTGCCAGGAAGATGCGCGACCTTCGTCAAAAGTCGTCTACCACTCCTTGCGAGCGGTACTTACAGCCTGTCAAGTCAACTTACGACGACACTGGTTGGACAACGACACGTCAGGAGATCACAGGCGAAACATTGCGAAGAGGATAAGATCACAAACTACCCGCTTTGGTCCACAAAAACCACACAGCCGAGGCGCGTTTCTGACAACGATTCAAATTTGGGGGACAGAAATGCGGGAAAGGGGAAGGGCACAGGCAGTGTGTTGTTGACGTCACAGCACATACGCCGCCGAAGGAGGAACCATCGTCAAAGTCTTGCGAAGCTGCCTCGTGGACTTGATGGCAACGACAAAAGCGACCACGTAAATTATCGGCCGTAGTTCCGCGCCAATATTGCTGCCACGCTGGCCAAATCACGGTGCTGTCTCGTACTGATAAGATTCGCCACATCACCAAATTCAAGACATCTCGACCCTCCACGCACATCTGCTGTACTGTACATACCAGCCTAATCATAACAGACCAACCGAGATGAATGCTTCAGCTCTATATACGGATCCTTAAAACAGAGTGCATTTCTTGGAATAGCAGACTACATACAAAATAAATCAAGGAAGTGTGATTTCACCTAGTTCCAATGTCAAAACTATAGCTCATCGAAAGCTCCTCCTATCTGTTATGCTGCCAGCCAGGCTATTAGAAAGACTGATTCTCGGTGTGTTTATGATGTGACTCAGACCTGAAAATTCAGCATGCAGCCTTGGCTGTGTCAACTTGGCTTAGGGTGGGGATGAATCTGAAAGTGGTGAGCAACACACTGAAGACTGTTGCTTCAGTAGGCGTTCTGTAGGCGTGTCGATGCGCATCGAATGACATGAAGACCCCTGCAGAGCAGATGAACTGTACTGCTGGCCATAATGTTAGTCTGCTGCACTAGCTCAGCTGGTACACCTCAGCTAATCGCTTGGTGGCTTTTGACTTTGACAAAAGAATCAACTGCTGGCTGAAACATTCGTCTGTGCCAGCGCAGCTGACAGCTGGCACACCTCTGTGAATTGCTTGATGGCGCGATCAAACTGGCAGCCCTGGAAGTGGGGGCGCAACGGAGAGGCATGGATGAAGAGAGAGACTGTGAGAGAGATGTTGACAGGGAAGCAAGGAGACATAAAGGCGCAGCTCCCTCCCACATACCTCATACCTCCTTCCAGGCATCTCACACCTCACCTCCCAGTAGAGGTGCTGGCACTGGCAGCACTGCCAGAACTCCACCACTCGAGCCAAGACAAGGCAGGGCACCACCTGAGACCATAACACCACCGCTGCTGGCATTCGAGATGTTTCTAACTCTTACACACATGTCATCCCTCACCTCCCAGTAGAGGTGCTGGCACTGGCAGCACTGCCAGAACTCCGCTACGCGATCCAACACGTGACTCGGCACCACCTGTGTCCACGGCGCCGCCGCTGCTGCCTCTGAGGGCCCCAGCGCCTGCGGCTTGAAGGTGCCGTTGCAGCGGATGCAGCGCGAGAGCAGGGAGGACTCGCACAGGAGCAGGCAGAACGCGGTTACCACCTCGCGGAGCTGCTCGCGCTTGTCGGTGCTTCTAATAAGGTGCATGTGGGTGGGCGGCAGCAGGCGGCGCCGGAAGAGCTTCACGTCCCTTGTTAGAAGCACACGGCCCTCCCTCTCTGCCCACTCTATCAGCTTCCTGTGGAAGGGTGAGGAAGCAGGGTGAGGAAGCAGGGTGAGGAAGCAGGGTGAGGAAGCAGGGTGAGGAAGCAGGGTGAGGAAGCAGGGTGAGGAAGCAGGGTGAGGAAGCAGGGTGAGGAAGCAGGGTGAGGAAGTAGGGTGAGGAAGCAGGGTGAGGAAGCAGGGTGAGGAAGCAGGGTGAGGAAGCAGGGTGAGGAAGCAGGGTAAGGAAGCAGGGTGAGGAAGCAGGGTGAGGAAGCAGGGTGAGGAAGCAGGGTGTGGAAGCAGGGTGAGGAAGCAGGGTGAGGAAGCAGGGTGAGGAAGCAGGGTGAGGAAGCAGGGTGAGGAAGCAGGGTGAGGAAGAAGGGTGGGCAGTGTAGGAACGGAGACAGCACAAGCCCATTTGGCATGATACAATCGCATTACGGATCCCTTCTTGTCAAACTTCGCGTGCCCAATTTACCCGACCATCATCCGAGCTCAACCATACCATACCTGGTGTCACACGTGTCTCGCCCAAGACTCTTGGGAGAGGCGGTGTCAACGCCCACACAGCGCAGCTGCCGTGCCAGCCCCTCCACCATGGAATCACACAGGAACCGCGCCTGCCCATCACCTCCCCGCGACCCATCCCACGGCGGCACCAATCCGTTCCCATGCATGTCACTTGGGCGCACTGCATGATATGGTGACACCAGTCCGTTGTGTGGCCTGTCAGCACGAGCATCCCCTGCAGGCAGGGCCTCGTTTGAACACGCCTCATTGCGACGCGATTCAACCTCGCATGCTACAGCCGTGCCCGCTGCTTCTCCTCTGGACCCTCGCCCTGACTCCCCACTTCCCTCTCCTTCTTCCCCTCCTGTCGCCTCCTCCCCTTCCTCTCTCATCCTGCTCTCTCGTGCCTGCTTCCTCCCTTTCCTCGAGTTCAACCGCTTCCCTAAGCCATCCCTACCCTTCCCTGCACGCCCTTGGCCTGAACTCGCACTGCTGTCGCTGCCACTGCTAGTGCTGGTGCTGTTGTTAATGCCGTCCGTGCTCTTTCCCACAGAGCGCACCTTGCCAGTGATGTGGCAGAGGGAGAGCGAGTGGGAGTGTTCCTCTATGAGCTCTGACAGGGCAGCAACGAGAGTGGTGGTGCTGGTGCCTGCGGTGAGGGTTGCAGTCCTGTTTTGCTGCTGCCGATGCTGATCGTGATGACGATGCTGATAATGATGCTGCTGCTGCTGCTGCTGCTGCTGCTGCTGCTGCTGATGGTGGTGGTGCTGCTGCTGATGGTGGTGGTGGCGCTGTTGCTCCATGGTGTGCATGAGGCGATGGTGTGACTGTAAGGGTGGGAGTGCAGGCGTGACAGTACACGCAGTTACTAAAACAGATGCAGCCGGAATGGGCTGGTGAACAGCACAAGGGGACGCTGACGAGGATGCTGACAAGGATGATGCTGACAGGGATGGTGACGTGGATGGGCCTCCATGTACTGCTGCTAGTCCAACCTGATCTTTTCCATTTGCGGAAAGGGCATGGGCGGAAAGGGCATGGGGGGAAAGAGCATGGGCAGAGAGGGCGTGGGGGCGCGGAGCGAGTGGGAGAAGCGCGAGCGCCATGTGAATCAGGCAGAGGGCATCAGCAGCAGCATAGTGCAGCTGGTGGCGTGACAGCGGCCGCTGCTCCCAGTCACTGCACTGCAACTCCTTATCCAGTGGCGCTCCCAGCAGCACCTGCGCCAGTGCTGACAGCCCTGACGCGGGCAGCAGCACTGATCTGGCGGCGAGGGAGCCGGGAGGGGCGGCGGCGGTGAGGAGCGAGAGCAGGTTGTCGCGCTTGAGGTGCAGGCGCGTGCGGCGGATGGCGTGGTAGGCCGTGCCGATGTCTATGAAGGGTGCCACGTGGTGGAAGCAGTCCTGGCCCTGTGAGGGGTGCTCGTGCTCTGAATGGGGGGAGCGGTGCTGGTCTGGGAGAAGGGAGGGATTAACTTGAGAGTGGAGGGAGTGGTGGTCTGGGTGAAGCGACTGGTGGTCAGGAGAGTGGGAGTGGTGGTGTGAGGAAAGGGAGCGGTGGTATAAAGGGAGGGATTGGTGGAGGAACTCGAGGTCGTCTGAGAAGGCAAAGCCGAGCTTGAGGGTGTGAGGCGCGCGCAGCATGGCACGGAGAGGGGGGGCGTACAGGCAGGGCGGGAGAGACAGTAGGTCCAGCAGCAGCACCACCTCCTCCCACCCATCCGCCTCCTGCCAACTCTCTGCATGCTGCCAGCTGTCCGTCGGTTGCAAGCTGTCCGTCGGATGTGGCAAGGATACCGTTTCACTCTCACGCTGCCCCACATGCTGTGGCTGGCTTTGCCCCTCTGTTGTTACCCCGCCATTCTGCCCCTCTCCTCCCTGCTGCTGCGACTGATCGTCACTGCCTGGCGTGCGTACCATACAGTTATTGTCACGCTCGTGGTGGTCGCATGTTCCTAGGGGTACGCGGCATGCTATCTGCAGCAGTGCCACACGATGAGGGGGAAGAATGTCCACAGATGACGCTGCTGCTGCTGCCGTTGCTACTGATGCTGCTGATGCTGATGCCGCTGCTGCTTGAAGTGATGATGTAGCTGCCACGGCAGCCTGTTTATACACGTCAGCCTGTTGTGCCAGCTCAGCCACTTCCCGTCTGAGTCTGGACGGCCGCCACTCGGCATCAAGCCCCACCATGATTGCCTTGGACAGGATAACGTCAACCCTTGCCGCCCGGAAGGAGGCGGGAGAATCAATAAGGTAGACGCGGGAGGGGGAGAGGGGCATGCGCCAGAAGGGGGAGGGGGACGGGGAGGGGGAGCGGGAGGGGGAGGCGGAAAGGGGAGGGTTAACGGAGGAGGAAGGGAAGGGGGAGCGGGATGACGGAGAAGATGATGGGGAGTGGGGAGGAGATGGAGGGAGCATGGCGGAGAGCTGGAACAGTGGAGACTGATCCGCTGCTGGTATCCGCATGTGAAGATGTTCTGATAGTGATGCCATTCCGTTCGTATCTTGGCCAGGCTGCAGGGTAAGAATGGCTGCTGGTGCTTGAAACGGAATATCTAAAAGTGTAACGCCTGTGGGCTGTGTTAAGGGCACTCCGCTGCGCCAAATAACACCCTCGTTTTGACCCAGTGGGTAGCGAGGTGTTATAAAAAGACTCTGACGGGTGAAAGACTCTGACGGTTGTGATTGGACCTGAGACAGAATGTCCTGATGCCTCGTGTGGTGTCCCGAATTCGGGTTACTGCTGCTGCGTTGCTGGAGGGGATGTCGGCGACGATTGCATCTGCGACAGCGGTGAATGCGACGGCTGGGCCTGCGACTGGAACTGGCGACGCTTCTCCTCCAAAAGCTGGTCGTCGCGCAACACGCCGCGGTGGAGGTTCTGTGCCACGTGGCGTGAGGGGATTCGCGGAAGCGAGTGGGAGTTGAAAAACGCGATTAAACACCATGAGCAGACGAAGCGGATCTGTGCAATGCCTTAAGTGCCACTTAGTGTCAATGAACACATTTCTGAGAGAATCTAAGCGTGACTGAATGATAGAGGAAGACACGAATATAGGCAATGAGAAGTGGTAGCACACCTCTCGCTCCTTCACTTGCAGCTGGTGCACGTATGCGACGCCAGCGACAGTCGCGAGGACCGTTACACCTAGCAGCACCTTCGCACGCCTACTGGACATGTCGCAGACAATGCCTTGGAGCAGCAAGGGTCCGAATGGGAAACGACAGTATATAGGGAAAGGAGCGCAGGAAGCCGGTTGCGTGTGAGGTGCGACGAGCTTGAGACAAGCAGGCAAACACAGCAACCTTGGGATTCCCGAAACTGTGGTGGAATGGTGGAATGAGCAGGAGAGTGCTAGAGTGGAAGTCCCATCCCATTCGTTCGCCCTCACGAATGCGGAGGTGCAGACCTCGACTCGTTATAGGCGCTCGCAATACCACCTCGAGATTTCTTCATAACCTCGCGCAGAAGCATTTTTTGCTCATGCTGAAAGCTAACCCAACCCATCTCAACCGAAGCAACAAACAAGCACAGGTCTCCCTTGATCAGCTCCCCATTATTCCAAATTTCCCGCCAAGTCATGGTCACTCGGGCTCACGTGCTCCGTGTTGACGAACCAAAATGCCGCGCAGCAATCGACGCGTAGGAATGCGAGTTCTCGTCCTCGCGGCGATCGCAGCCGTCTGTCTCCCGTGGGGTATCCTCGTTGCCCGCTCATACCTCGCTGTCTCCCGTCTTCACTCCCTCTCCTCACATAAGCGGGCCGAGCCGACAGACCGCGTTTTGAACACATTCGCTGATTGGCGCTTGATTTCATCGCATATCCTAGCTGCGTTGCCAATTCTGCCTACGGATTGGCTGTTCTTCCGCAATTCCAGCGCCATACATCCTCTCCACCTTCGTCGCCACGTCAGCGATGACTTTTTCGCGCCTCGTGTACCTCCCTTACCATGGTCAGTCATTCCAGCTGATAAATCACCTGGAAAATTCAGCGGCCAATCAGATGCCGCCAGCTCAGAGGCACAGGAGCGACGCGTGAATGCAAGCGCGCCGAGCGGGCTGTGCATAGCAATCACATCCGCGCCACGATTGGACCCACAAAACTTGGAGCCCACGTGGCAGCGAGTCGTGCGGCTGCTGCAGGCATTAGACTCGAGGCGCGTGGGCGCTTGGAAAGGCAAAGGTGAGGGGAGAAGTAACGCTGGTGGCAATGCTAATGAGGGGATGGAGCAGGGAACAGAGAGAGTGGAAGGGGAAGAGGAGGGGGAAGGGGACGGAGAGGGTGATGTGACTGCTGATGATGTTCCTGAAACGGGGGAGGAGGTGGAGAAGGCGATTAGAGAGCTTAAAAAGCGGAAAGGGCTTGTGCTGGGTCAGGACATGCGGATCGTGCTGTACAGCTCAGCATGCCACGTGGTTGACCCTGTGGACTTGCTGACTCAGCAGGGTGTCGTTTTTGGTGAGGAGCGCTGGAGGGAAACGAAGCCACCGCAGCAAGGAAAGAGGCGGGAAGTGAGGAATGGTAGAGGAGGTGCAGTGGACAGGAAGAGTGGAATAAGGAACGGTCAAGAGGCGCCAGCGAGAGGCAGGGGAGGAAGAGGGAGAGAGATGAGCAGGCGGGAGATGATGGATGAGGCAGTGAGGAGGTACGCTGCTGGCGCTGGTGTGAGTGAAACGTATGTCCGACCCCTCATTCAGGTGCTTGCTCAGGCCGCCTTTGACAGCAGCACCACCGTTGACAGCCACACCCAAGCCATCCGCAATGTGGCAGCCAATCTGTCCATCCACGTGGATATCCTGCCAGCTCATGCTGACGTGTGTACCTTTTTTGGGGATGCCGGTAGGCTGCTGGCTGCTGTTCCGAAGCGGATCATCGAGAGGAAAGGGTGGGCTAGATGGACATGGGAGGCAAAGATAGCTGTGGATGCTATTCACGCCATGCATCAGTGCCTGCTCACAAACCCAAAGTTTGTCCTCATCTTTGAAGACGATGTGATGCCGGTGTGGCTGTGGGACGCTGGCATTGAGCGGTTTCTCACGGTTGATCTTCGTGAGAAGCCTCCTTGGGATTTGGTGGCACTCTACTACCCGACGACATATCATTGGGGTGCGAAGCACGGAGATGCCTACGATTTCCCCTGCTGCACTCAAGCAGACCTTTTCAGGGCTGATGCTGCCAAGAAAGTGGTCAGCTATGTAGAGTCACGCTTTATGCAGAATCCAGCAGATATGCTACTGGGAGAGACTGTGAAGAAAATGAAGCTTGTTGGGTATGCACATGTCCCCTCCTTGTTCCAGCATACAGGGACCGTTCGGACAGTTTCCATAGCTTATTTTCACAAGGATCTATATTTTAGGTATGATCATGTGTTGCGGTCTCTAGCTGCTGGAGCAAACGGGTGGTTGGCAGCAAATAGCACTTAGACCAACACATGCAGTTCGCAAATGATAATTAATTATGTATCGATACGATGCGTTTATCGAGTCATCAATGTGTATCAGCAGTGGCATCCGAGAAAAACACGTGTATGGGTACAATGGTGCGTCAGCAGCAGCATACGACGTCTTTACGATGTACAAGGTGCCCTGCATTTCCCCGCGCAACGGTTCTATTCTATCCCTCGGAAACCCCCCCTCATCCCAAATTCAACCCGCCTTCCCCCATATTCCCCAATTCCCCCAGTGCCGCACACCCGCACCCCGTTTCCGCGCCTCTAGCGCCCAACAGCCACTTCATCCGCCTGCCACAGCGCCAGCTGCGCCAACCCACCCAACCCAACCTCATTTGAGTCCCCCCATTTTTCCAAGCCAAACCGCCTCCCGCGCCTGTCAATTGTATTCCACCATTATTCCCTCGTGCACCAGCATCTCCTTCGTCACTAGGTTTTCACTTTTGTGGATTTAGAAACTCTGGTGTATCAGCTACCTTTGCTGGACGGTTTTTAGTTTTTGATTCGCTTGTTCTCATGGGGCTGCTGATCCAGCGTCGCGTGGTTTCATTCCTCGCGATATTTCTTCTCGCCGCGTCCCTCGCGCCGGGTCATGCGGCGGATTCCGATGACTCCGCCACGGCCGCGCCTCCGCGGTTCGCGCGCGCGCGGCTGAGGCGGACGGGGGAGCTCACGCTCGAACGCATCGCGGCGCAGCGCGAGTGGCTATCGTCCGCTGCGTTCAAGCAGCGCCTTCTCTCCGCCAACGGTCTCCGCGCGGACGGCGCAGAAGTCGGCGCAAGCGGCGGCGAGCGCGGGCCGGACGTGGTGCCGCTGAACAATTTCATGGACGCACAGTACTATATGGAGATCGGGATTGGATCGCCGCCGCAGACGTTTAAAGTCGTGCCCGACACCGGCAGCAGCAACCTCTGGGTGCCCTCGCGCCGCTGCTACCTCTCCGTACGACGCGCTCTTTCGTTACCATCTCTCGTTATTTTATCTCCTTATGGTCACTCGTTGTAATCCCCCTGGAGCTGCTGCATCGTCCCCGTAGCTTCCCTGTTTTTTACTATCTCTCGCCATCGCTTCGTCTCTCCTCTCCGCTACCGTCCAGTGCACGCCTCACCTTTTCCCTTTGCCCTGCTTCCTTCCCCTCCTTCCCATCCTTTCCCTCCGCCCCCTTCGTCCGCTATCACTCAAATATTCTCACACCTCGCGATTCTTTCACCAAAAGCACACCTAGTTCAATCAATCCAACCCCTCCCTCCCCGCTTTCTCCCCCCTCCCTCCCCGCTCCCTTCCCCCTCCCTCCCCGCTCCCTCCCCCCTCCCTCCCCACTCCCTCCCCCCTCCCTCCCCGCTCCCTCCCCCGTCCCTCCCCGCTCCCTCCCCCGTCCCTCCCCGCTCCCTCCCCCGTCCCTCCCCGCTCCCTCCCCCCTCCCACTCCGCTCCCTGCCTTGCTCCTCCCTGTCCCCCCTCTTCCTC